CAGGAACACACAGCATCATCCCTTGCCTTGGTGGCCAAATACACAAGTCCCGAGCTCTTTAAGGAGCCCAGTAGCAAATCAAACAAACCAATTATTTATAATTCTATATCCCATTGCTGTCAGGCTAGAAAAGTGAATGAACCTCACAAGAATTCAATGTTAGGGGAGCTAGAGAAGCATCACGGCAATCACTACATCATACTGTTTTGTGATGCTGGCTGCCAATTCAGGGCACTTTATTACTACTTTCCTGACACCAAAGAAATCTACAAATTAACCAGTATAGGGCCAAAGAGCATCACCAAAAAAAAAAAAAAAAAAAAAGATTGACAAACTGTATATACAGCTCAGACTGAAAACAGTTTAACCTGATCCCAGCCAAAACCATGTCCGTCATTGTGAACACCCTCACTCATAACCACTTGTGGCAGCCCAAGTGGCCTGCAGCACCAAAGACCCAGACTCGTAAATAACACTGATGCAGGAGAGTCTGAAGGATGTGCTGATGGGATCCATATTCACTGTTTCGTCCATTTGGGTAGGAAGTATACAACATCACAGACCTCTTTCAAAGAGGCTTCTAGACAACAGAAGAAAATCCCTCCCTTAGCTCCCAACACACAGAGGATGCCAGGCAGAGCAAGAATGGAGGAATAAATTAATACACAATTTCAGAAAAAAGTCAGAGTACAGAAGAGTTTACATTGAAAAATAATCATCTGCTTCTTCCCTCCCCACCCCTTCCTACTACTCCCACCACCCCCCAACACAACAATTTATGACAATTTCTGGTTTTAGTTCTAGTGGTTGTCACTAAGATCTAAATAATGTGTGTTTCTAATTTTTTATTTATCAACTTCTGACAATGTTCACCATTCTCTGCTCTGAATGAGGAAAAACTGGTTCATTCACACTATTCTGCCCCCTCCCATCTAAGTCTCACAGTTATAAGCCCCTAACTCCCACACTGTTTGAGGGTCAACTGTATTGATAAAATTCATTTGTTTTTTGAATAGGTAATATCTACACATGGTAAAACATTAAATTGATGGATAAACTTCCTCTCCACTTTCTCTGCTTCTCCTTTTCCTTTCTGTTCCATCTCTGCAGAGTGATTTAGTCCAAAAGCCATTACATGGGGCTGAGTGAAATAGGAGATCATGTATGGGAGCAGGGGGAGACTTGGCAGCCTGGTGCAGGGTGCGGCAGCCAGAGTGGAGTGAGTAGACTTTCCAATGTTGGTGGCATGATGTGGTGGCAATGGCAGTGGTGGCACTGACCAGGAACAGGGTGTCATAGAGTCGAGGGGGCTAAGTAAGCAAGGCCTCTGTATGGCAGGGTGGTTCCAAGCAGCTTAGAGCCTGGAGGGGATGAGGCAGGTATCTGCCAACGCAGACAGGCATGGGGTGTCAGAGCCCGTAAGGGAAGAGGAGGGCTTCTATGCAGTGGGTGACAGTGGTGGCCTTGGAGACTTAGAGGAGGGTATCCCTACAGGAGAGCGACAGCAGCAGGTCAGCACAGGGTGCTGAAGCTCAGGTGAGGTGAGGATGGTGGCCATACAGGGGACAGGGGCAGCAGCCTGGAAGAGGTGTCAAAGCCTGAGCAGGGTAAAAGCTGCCTGTCAAGGGTGCTGGGTAGAAGGGCAGTGGCACTGACAGGAGACTGGTCACATACAGAAGTACTGATTAAAGAAGTGGTTACATGATGAGCCAGGTGTTTTACTGTCAAAGAAGGGAGGGACAAATATGGATAGGGAGAAAGCTAGAATAAACTCTGTGGTGGTCTGAATATATTTAGATAGACATAGAAATAAGTAGAATAGACACAGACATAGAATGTATGTATATCCATTTACATATTCCCTATGTCTGTCCCCTGGGAGGGCCTGGGAATACTAATACCCCAACAGCAATGAGCACTCCTAATGCCCAGATCTTGGTTTCTTAATACCATTCTCCACTAAAAGGTGATTCCAAGTTGGGCTAGATAATGACAAAATGAACCTGGTGCATCCTGCTATGCTGGAAAGTGAGGAAATGCTCAAAAAATGATGGGGACATGTCAAAGGAAACAGAGCCCAGCTTAAAGGGGCTCCTAATGGCCAAATCTGGGGAAATTTGAGCATCAAAATAAGGAATAATAATGATAAATTATAACCCACTGAATGAAACAGGAATCCATGAGTCCTTACATATATGAATGGATAAATTGCTTGATGAGAGATGGAATATTTTCATAGTTTCAAAGTACCTCACCACAAAACATTCATTATTTATCAAGGGAAAAAGTGAAACTTTACAGTAGAGAAGGCTGGCAGACACCACCTCAATAAAGTAATTAAATTTAACATTACAAGCAGTAGGAAAAACTAAAATCATGTGCTGATAGGATGCAAGACAGTGAATAAAGCATCACTTCCACGGTTTCCTGCCAAAGGTGTATAATCTGAGTCTATTCTCGAGTAAATGTCAAACAAATGTTGAGGGACCTTCTTCAAAATAGTTGGTCAATAATTTTCAGAAGTATCAAGGTCATGAAAGTCAAGGAAAACTGAGGAACCATTCTAGCTTGAAGGAGACATGACAGCTAAATACAATGAACAATTCTGGCCTGGACTGACTGACTGATGTCTGTCTGACTGACACGATTATGGCCTGGATTTATTTATTTACTTGGCTGTTTGTTATAAAAAGGACATTATTGGGGCAATTAGTGAAACTTGAACTGGATCTGAGATTAAATAGAATGATATAGCAATGTTAAGTTCATGATTTTGATGGTTATACTGTGGAAGAATGTTGTATAATGGGGAATATACATAATAAGGTATTTGGGAGTGATAGAGGCATCAGTAATTAAGTTAGGAACTTATATAAAATTGTTTGGAAAAACAGTTCTTCAAACTTATTTATTAAGAATATTTCAAAATATTGTTTTAAAGTAACCCAGCCTCCCCCCCATCTCCCTCAACCACTCAGTTCTCCTCCCCAGAGGCAACACTGGGATGTTATTACGGCTCCTTCCAGGGACAGTCTAGGCACTTAAAAGCTTCTATCTCCCTCCCTCCCTTTTTCTTTTTACATAGATGATAGTATTCCTCACAAACTGGTCTGCCCCTTGCTTTTAGCTTATGCTCTATCACTCCATGGAGCTGCTTCACACTTTTATGGATGTGAATGTAACATAAGTTATTCAAGCAGCCTTCATTGGTGAATATTTTGTTTATAATCCTTTGATATTATAAACAGTGTTTCACTGAAAATCCTCAAACACAAGACATCCAATGTGCAAGTAAATCCACAGGAAAAAATCCTATAAGCAGAACTGCTGGGTCAGAAGATATGTGCATTTATATTTGGATGACACATTTTCATACTAACCACTGCAGAGATTTTACACATTATGCTCGTACTCTCAATCAATGCATGAGAGTATCTTATGAAACTTTTCAGTTGTTTTGGTTGTTTCCAAATTATCAGAAAAAAATAAAATTTCACTGCAGTTTTATTTTTCTTTTCTCTTATGAGTGAGGTATAGCATCCTTTCATATATTTGACAACTACTGAGGACTTTACCCATAATCATTGTAAAGTGCTGCTGCTTTTGGTTTGTTTTGCCCTAAATTCAACCTGCTTTCTTTCAATTTCCACTTCCTTGGCACGTTTTGACACCCTTTTATTTTTTGCTTTTCCAAGAGGTTGGATGAGGTGTGTCAGCTTTCCCTAGGGACTTCTTGGTGTTGCCCCACTATCTTCCAATATTAAATGCTGATGCAAAGGAGGTGAGTCCACGCTGATCCTCCTCTCCTGTCTCCACGGAGGCCTTGATCATCTTGTCTAGATGCCAACGGATCATTTATAAAGTCCAATAGATTAAAACAAGGCATATCTCAGTGTTATTCTGTGACAATGTTCCCTGAGACAAGCCATTCCCTTCCCATTTTGAGATTTATTTGTTTGTTTTCAATGGAAAGCATTCTCAAAATAAAGCTGTACAATTCTTTCCCAGTTCCATTGGTCTGGCTCCCCGCACCACTTCCTCCAGGAACTCTAGGTATTTCATTTGTCTTCCACGTCTGTAATTTTTCTAACATTTTAAAATTCTTTGTTCCTGGGAGTTCCCTGGTGGTCCAGTGGTTAAGACTCTGCGCTTTCAGTGCCGTGGCCCAGGTTTAATCCCTGGTTGGGGAATTAAGATCCCACAAGCCACACGGTGCGGGCAAAAAAAAAAATTCTTTGTTGCTTTCTACTTTTTTTGCTCACTCTTCTCAATCCTCAGTGTGCTTACAGAAGTATTTAGTGTTCTCTGTGCTGTTTCCAATGTCACTACAATTACCAATAGCTTTATTTTTTCCCTTCAATTTCTTACCTGAGCTCTGACAGCTGCCATTTCATCTTCTTACATTATCTTACTCTATCTTCACTGAACTTTTAAAAATCTCTGCTGTAATTCGTTTTACATGGTTTGAATTTGAAATATCACACTTTTGGTTTGCTCTATGGAAACATTTTTTTCTTTTTTTGGTTAAATATTCTGTCTGATATTGTTTTTCACTGTACCTTTCTCCTTTTCCCCTTATAGTATCTTTTTAGATTCATAGCTGGCTCCTTTTAATTACTCATCTTTGATTGAATTCTCTTTGTAAGCTCCCACTGCCAGCACACCTACGTACGGCTCCTATTGTTCTGGGTAATGAGTAAGCTACCTGCTGGCTCTGTCTATGATCTGAAGACGTATTTGCAGGTTTGTATAAAGGAAGATCCAGGGAACCATTAGAAGGGAGTAGAAATTATCTCTGGCTCACAAGGTTAAATATGATTAATGTAGAGTTCAGAGAGAGGGAGTTCTTTTAGACTTTATTTCTTTCCAACTAATTTAATTGGCTCCCTCCAACTTAATGTATCCACACTGCCTCAACACAGCTTTAGCAAAACTGACAGAGGTGAAGAGCAAATCTATACAGCCCTTTCTTTCCACCTGGTTTGCACAGGGGCTAGATGACATGACTGTATGTTTCTACTCTGCCTCTTCCATGGGGCCAAAGTGTCTGGAGAAGTTCCCACTACCAGTGCATTTACTGTTCCTGCTGTTCTGGATAATGAGTAGGCTACCTGTTGCCTCTGTCTATAATTTGAAGATGTAGAAGCAGAAGCCTTTCTTCGTGTCTTCCCTCTACCATTACCTTCACTGATTTGGCAACTCTTTCTCACTTCCTGGGGGATTTGTGAATTTGTTTTCCACTCTCCTAGTTGTTTCTTTAATAATTTCCAAGAAGAGAATGGGGAAGGGCCATGTTTACCATTCTAAAACTGGAAGTCTTATGCTACTTTTTTCTTCTATTCTGTTAATAACTTCAAATAATATACCTGTTTCTAGATCCACTATAAGATGCGAGTGTTAATGGCCTTACCCTTTCTTCTACATTTCAGACAATTAAATGTTGACATTGTTATGCTGGTAAGATTTATATTCTATTCTGGGTAAGTCTCCCATAGTTTGTCTATAGGATGGCTCTAAAAGTTGAAAACAGTGTTTACATCATTCTGTCTAGACTTATACATGAGTGTGCAGGTATAGAGAATGCCTTAATCTTCATAAGATTGTTTTCAGTAGTGATAACATCTTATCACTAAATTGTTAAAAATAGCAATAATACATTCAGATTATTTTTAGCACAGATCTGATGGTACTGAATTCTCTTAGCTTTCATTTACCAGGGATGTATACTGTTTTCAGTTTTAAAGGATATTTTCCTGGATATAGAATTCTAGGCTGACATATTTTTATTTCAGCACTTTAAAGGTGTCATTTCATTGTAATCTGGTCTCTGCTGTTTCTGATAAGAAGTTAGTTAACATTTGTACGTTTGCTCCCATGCATGTGAGGTGTAGTTTTTCTCCGGCTGCTTTCAAGATCTTACCATTATCTTTAGTTTTCAGCAGTTTGATTATGATGTATCAAGATGTGATTTTTATTTGTAACCTGTGTGGCTCACTGAATTTTTAGATCTGTAAGTGGCTTTTCACCAAACATGGGGAAATTTTGGCCTTTATTTCTTAAAATATTTTTTCTGCCACATTCTCTCTCTCTCTCTTTTTTTTTTATACTCCAGTTACGTGTATATTATTACTTTACACTGACTCATAGATCTGAGACTCTCCTTATTTTTCAAAAATAATTTTTCCCTCTTTTTTCAGATTGGATGATTTCTGTGGATCTGTATTCAGGTGGATCCATTTTTTTTTCACAACCTCAATCCTCTGTGTTAAGCCCCATATATTTTTCATATCAGATATTACTTTTTAAAATTCTTAAATTTCCATTTGGTTCTTTTTTAAGAATTTAAAATTAATTAATCTAGTCACTCATTATGACCATATTTTCCTTTAATTTCTTGAACACATTTATAATATCTGCTTTAAAGTCCTTGTCTGATAATTCCTACATCTGGGTCACCTTAAGATCTATTTCTATTGACTGCATAGAAGTCACATTTTTTTCATTAAGGGTCACATTTTCTTGTGTCTTCACATGTGTATTAATGTTTGGTTGCATGCTGGACATTGTAATGTTACAGGTAAGGAGTCTGATTACATTGTAATCCTGTAAGCTCAACTTCAAAAAGTGCTGAGTTTTGTTCTGGTAGATTAATTTTATGGCAGCAAGCCAAAAATTAAAAACTGCATATGAGTACATCATGTCTAGCAACAGAAAAAAATGGTGATTTATAAATCAGAAGGAAGGACATTAAAAATGTGTTTTTGAGTAGAACAGGGAACTTACTTTTATAAAGCAAAATCGCACAAATTTCTCAAACTGTAATTTGGTCTCTGCATTACAGAATGCTGAAACTGGGATGGCTGACAATTTCTGAAAAACAAATAGGAATATAAAATATGAAAAACAGGAAAACTACTTACACTTTAAATATTAATTTTTGGAGCATAAACATTAAAAACAAATAGATACTTCTAAATATTCACAATAATTTCCAAAAGAAAAATGTTTTAAAAATCCTCCAGGGAATTCCCTAGTGGTCCAGTGGTTAGGACTCCACACTTTCACTGCCGAGCGCCCGGGTTCAATCCCTAGTTAGGGAACTAAGATCCCAAAAGCCATGCAGTGCAGCCAAAAATAAAATAAAATCTTCCAAATAGCTATGAGTAGAATATCATGTAACAAAACTACAGTTAACAGTTTTCAAAGCATGTCAGCAGGTTTCCTTCATAAATTATAACATATAGCACAATATTGCAAAGGCCAATAAACATTACCTTATTTTTAGTCATCCATTTTACAAATTTATAGTCATAAGGTTCGTTGCTGTTCTTCATATCAGAAAGGTCTGTATCTAAAACAACAATAAAAATTGGATGGCCTATGTATTACATCTCAGGCAATGTGTATTTCATCTGTCTATCAAGATTCAAAATTTTCTCTCAAAATGTTCTCACGCTGGATTCATACTGCATAGTGTGGTGGGAAGTAAGGAATTCACAGAGAAGCTTTACTGATACTCTAAGGCAGTACTCACATATACATCTGATTGATCATGCTTGTGTATACAGCTTTTAGCATTGGAAGAGAGTAGGAAAAGGGAAGGACAAAGAAGAGTGTTGCCTTTCCGTTTAAAAATAATATAAGCCTCTATGATCATTATTAAGGAAATAACACCTAAATTTAGAGTATTCATCTGTAATAATGATGTCTCCAAATGGTAATTCATTATTAGATTGTAAGATCCACGGGGGTATTGCAATCTATCACTACGCCCATCTCCTAGGTCAGGGTCTAGCATATAAGTAATGAAAAGCATATTTGTAGAATGAATAAGTTAATATTATTCATTATTTATGAAGGGAAAATGCCTATGTAGTTCTCCCAAGCGATAGCTTTATTGTTTCCTCTTCCAAACATTATGCTTAAAAAAATTTTCTTTTAAATTTGGTGAAAAACTTCAAATATGTATTCTTATACTTATCTCTTGCTCCAATCTTGCTTTAAGGTCTGGGCAAGATATTTCTCTGGCATTCAGATTCAGCAATCTACATTTCATATTGTTTCGATTTTATTGACTTGTACTCAAGGTCTTTTTGAATGCCCCAAAGCAACAAACATTGATGGCTACTGTAATCAATGAAATTTTACAATTTATTACTCAAAATAAATTGAGGCAGTTACCTTTTTTCTTTTATTCACTAAACTGGGTCCCTTCAAATTAACAGTGTAAAAACCTTGACATTGAAGAAAGTTTCACCTGTATTTTTTTAAAATGACTTAATACGGTTTTCCTTAATGATTGTATTTCAGTTTTCTCCTGTGCTTTAAGAATGTAAAATTTCCATATAATAATGCTAATAATACTCAACAATTTATTACTATTTGTTAAGCATGTTACATGATTCTCTCATTTATTTGTCCTACAACTCTGAGAGAAGCAACAATCCTCATTTTACAAATGAAGAAGTTAAATACTATTTCAAGTCATATGTATGTATGTGTGTTCAATTCAGATTTGGCTCTAACAAAATGACAACTTACAATAGAGTCTAACTGTAAATTATGTGAAAACTCCAAGTGACAAGTAAACAACAGTAGCATACTCAAAGGTAACCTGGAGAAAGGAGTGATTACAGCAGTAGAAGAAAGAACAGGAGGGTACTTACTAACTGTAATTGACACAGGCTATACTACTCATTTATTCTTTTATTTTTAAAAATTTTTATTGGGGTATAGTTGATTTACAATGTTGTATTACTTTCTGCTGTATAGCAAAGTGAATCAGTTTTATGTATACATATATCCACTCTTTTTTAGGTTCTTTTCCCATATAGGTCATTACGGAATATTGAGAAGAGTTTCCTGTGCTATACAACAAGTCCTTATTAGTTATCTATTTTATATATAGCAGTGTGTATATGTCAATCCCAATTCTTCCAACTTATCCCCCCCACCTCCACGCCTGCTTTCCCCCTTGGTAACCATAAGTTTGTTTTCTACATCTGTGACTCTATTTCTCTTTGTAAATAAGTTCATTTGTACCATTCTTTAGAATCCACATATGAGCGATATCATATATTTGTCTTTCTCTGTCCAACTTACTTCACTCAGTATGACAACTACTCATTCTTGTAACGCTTAGAAAAGAGAAATTTATTGCCATGGTGCTCAAAGAAAAATAAGGGAATAAATACAATTCTAAAGACTTTATAGTTAGGAGAAAGTTGGAATCTACTTCTTTTGAATGCTTGAGTCAGAGATTCTCAAAAAAACTAAACAAAATATTTCTTTATTGAAGGTAGGAATTTGAACCATATTATAACAGCACTAGCTTATTTAAGTAACCTATGAGAATCAAAATAGGTTGTTGCATTCCCACTATCTCCTCCCTAATTTTGGACCTTATCTCACTAGAACTACTGTAATAATCTTCTTATTTATAATCTCGTCTTCTAATCAAATGTTTCCCTTTTTAGTTCTAGGATGATGCTCACCGGTCAGGAAAGTTGCCTAGTATAGCAGAAAAAAGATAAATTCACTGGTTAGGACATGCATCTCTGGATTCAGAGCCCAGCTCTGCTACTTATTAGTTGATTAACTTCAGTAAATTTCTTGATTTTCTATCTCATCTTTCTCAACTATCAATGGGGATATAATAGCACCAATCTCATAGGGCTTTTGTGAGAATTGTGATATTTGTATCACAAAAAGCTCTTAGCATAATACCTACTAGATCATAAATGCTCAAAAAATATTAACCAGTTAGCCATTGCTATGAGTTTTAAAGAGAATTACTATGTCCATGAATTTTATGGCTCATTTTTATTTTTAAGCTACCATCAAGTGAAAGTATTGTTTCTTGCTTCTGTCTTTAGCAAATTGTGGGACCAATCTCTAGTATATGGAAGAATTTCTACACTCAAATCAACCTGAGAAGACGAAAGAGTAAAATAAAATGAACTTCATCTTCATATGTAGAAGGGTCTTATAGATACTAACATTTTTCTCACACAGGTGAAGGAGGACCATAAATAACACACATCTTTTTTCCCCATCATCATTAAAGGTTTTCTAGCCCAAATCCTTTCTGCTCCTATTACAACCACACTAGTTCAAGATCTAGGACCTAAACCAATATTACATGCAGGCTGGATCAACTGAGGATAGAATGAGAAACTGTTTAAGAGCTTAATGCAAGCAAAAGTTGCATTACTGCCCTTTTGATGTTTAATGTAAAAATGTGATAAGTGCCTTTTAGTTTGGTTCTAGAAAAGACTTATTCTTATCTAAAAAGCTGTTAAGTTTACTTTTATCCAAGAATTATGTAACTAATTCCATTTTTCTATTTGCCTTTGCTGCCATGAAGTTTGGATTCAAGTTAATGCTAATTACAATACAGCTGACCCTTGAACGACACAGGTTTGAACTGCATAAATCCACTTATACACAGATTCTTTTTTCAATAGTAAATATTATGGTACTATACAATCTAGAGTTGGTTAAATTCACTTATGTAGAACCTTGGATAAGGAGGGACTGCATGTACAGAGGGACCTCAGATATGGAGGGCCAACTATAAGTTATACACGGATTTTCAACTGTACAGAGAGTTGGCACCACTAACCCTGCATTATTCTAGGGTCAACTACCATATGAACCTAGGTGACTAAACTATTTGCTTCCCTCACTCCATGTTACATTGATATATGAATATTTCTACTTAACATATTATAGCATAGAAGACTTTAAATATGAATTAACTCAAATTCTTGTTGGAAGCAGATAAAATAATTTTCTCCTAAACAGACGAAAACTGCTATTTTTTTTATCATTGCATGAAATGAGCTGCACATTTAGACCCAGTACAGGAAAGGTGATTTCCAAATCTTAGAATATAGAATATTATAAAGGGTTTTATATAAGAATGGAGCTTGGGAGCCTGACAAATACAGCTCTCCGGCAACAGCAAACCAAGAACCTCTGGTCACCATGGCCTCTGCTTCTCTCACGACAAATGAGGAAATAACAATCACTGTTTTGTTATAAAATTGAAAGTTTCTAGCTTTATAAAATTTATAAAATTTGGTATATTTAAAAGACTTTTCAAGTTTGGTGGCATATCACTTCATTGTAATAAAACCTTAAAATATTTACAACTGTTCAGAATGGCTGTAATTTCTATAATATCTGTCAAAATAAATTATGCTCTTAAATTTACTATGACTAACACTAGAGTTTTTGGGAAGAAAGATGTTATGAAACATTATCATGCTTCTAACTTTAGATTTGTGTGGCATGTCAGAATTACATATAACAGCTTCAGGTAATATAAAGGCCATTGCTTTTTGGAGACAGAACTATTTGGAATCTAGCTGTGTGACTTCAGGCAAGTTATTTAATATTTTCTAAGTCTTCATGTCTTTAAAAATGGAGCAAACAATGCTTTTTTTCAGAGGAGTTCTGAAAGTGCTTGGCATGTAGCAGACCTTCAATAAATATTACTTTCCTTCTTAACTTCATTTCAGTATACTCTAAAATGACAAGTATTCCTCAATAGCATCAATATTCTAGAAATCATATTTTTTAAGTAAAAAGGAAACTAAAATTTTACTAAGAGGAACACAAGGAACATATATTATTTCATGTACCTGTGTTTTAAACTACATACCAGAACAAGATGACAGCAAATTCTACGCTTAATAGAATATCTAGAACAAACGACTCCAAACCATGTAACAACAGTCATATTTAAGGTTAAGAACTTAATCATCAAGATGACTATAGATGACTGACACTGTGGAAATCCATTTTTCCATAAATGAAATGCTGATATGGCTTTGACACCAATCTTTTCTTCATAATTCTGATATAATTTCACTCTTAAGTTTCTGTATGTTTGAAATAATAAAAACCTTTACAAACCTAGCAAAGACACATCAGCAATGATGAAGTATCCCCCATCAGGAACTATGGGTTTTAGGCCAACACTTTCAAGTAAATGTACCATCCGATTTCTTTTCACTTCTAACTCTTTTGGCAAAGAATTAAAGTAGCATTCTGGGTCATCCATGCGCTTGATGTCAATCCAAAGAGCTTGAGCCAAAGCTTCCTGTATATTAAGATTGAAAAATGTGGAAAGGAAATATGGTAATGTTATTTACTGCAGAATTTATTGGTATAATAAATAAAGATTGTTGGCAAAAAGTCATTCAGGGAATTACAGTTGAATTCCTGTGAACCTATGTGAATTTCTACAGATTAATGGAGGAATCAGTTCCATGGAAATAATTAAATCTAATGTGAAGAGCTGAGAATGAACCATGAATATCCAAACTGAAACAGAGGTACAGTTGTCCCTTCGTATTCACAGGGGATTGGTTCCAGGGCTCCTGCAGATACCAAAATCCATGGATGCTCAAGTATCCATAATACACTCAGCTCTCTGTATCCCTGGGTTCTGCATCTATGAATTTCAACCAACTGTGGATCCACAATCTTTCGTTGAATCCATGGATATAGAATCCATGGATAGGGAGGGCTGACTGTAGTGTATAAAGATGGCTTACTTGGCAATGAAAAGACATCGTTGTTTTCTATTGAGGTTAACTTTAGAGTTACTTGCTAGATCTAAGCCTGAAAGATGACCAGAGAAATGATGAACCAGCCAGCATTTCCCCATTACCTTGCAGGACGAGGTAGCATAAATGAAAGTTGACCCACTGTGTCATTCCTCATAAGTGTGCATATCCCTGCTCTAATCATTCACATCCCAGGAAGGAGGTCTAAGTCCCACAGGGGTTAGAAATGAGTTTCTGGGGGCATGTGGAGTTACTTCTCTACCATTCTTCAGGAAAGTCAGAAGTGAAAGGGCCAAACAAAAAAGCCTGTGTTGTTTAGATCAGGCAGGTGTCTTAGAAGGCAACAGGTCAGGAACAGATAAAGAAGTCCAAATCAGGGCATGCATAGAAAACAAGGATGTGTACAAGCAGGAGGTCAGAAATTTGGTAGGTGAGCTTAGAAATCCCGGTTCTCAGAGCAAACAAGGAGATCCAAACAAATAATCAAGAACCCGGGACAGTTAAGAGACAGAGAGGCAGAACAAAATTGCCAAATTTTAAGAAAATTGATCAGAACCAAGAGACAGCAAGAACTAAAGGATAAATTCATTCACTCAGTCAATATATATTGAGTACCTATGTTAAACCTGGCATTGTGATAAATACTGGGGATATAATGATAAACAAGATAAACATGGTCCTTGCCTTTACGGAGATTCCAATTAGTGTGTATTGGCAGGGACATGTGAGAGGAATGAGAAAGAAAACAAACAGATGAAAAGGTCAGGATATAATTTGTTCTGCTGGAAGAACTGAGAAGTCTGGTGTGGCTGAAGGGTAGCAAGAGAGATAGCCTGGCAAGAGAAGACACTGAGATGGAGAAGGGCAAAATCACAGAGAAGACTGCATGTCAACAACATTCAACTGGAAAACAGCAATAATAATAACTCCCCAGAACTAAAAAAAAATCTTAGATAAATAAGGATCAGTTGCTTCAGCCTCAGAATCTGTGGCTCACCATTGGAATCTATGGTTCCAGTTTCCAAACATGGTTGTCTGAGGGCATGGGAAAGAAACAAGCACTTAGCTGAAATGGAGAATAAGATAGTTCAGAAAAACATGTTCTAGGTTCTTAGATGAATCTTTCTTTTCCTCAGTAACTTATTATTCCCTATAGTAAGAGATATTGCCTAGAAAATTCAAAGTCCAGGAGACATAAACATCTGTCCTCACCGTAAAATTATACCAGACTCCTCTCATTGTCTCACACCCCACATGTGATCCACTGGCCAATACTGTCAGCTCTACCTTCAAAGTATATGCAGAACCCAATCACTACCTACCACTCCTACCATCCCCATATTGGTTCAGTCCATTGCTGTCTCTCTCCTGGATCATTTCAATAGTCTGCTAACTCAACAAAGCGGCTAGAGTCCCTTTGATAACACAAGTTAGATCATGTCACTCCTGTGCTCAAAACTCTCCAGTGGCTTCCTATCTCACCCAGGCTTTACGGTGACAAACATATCCCTACTCCATCTGGCTCCCAGATACCTCTCTGATTTATTCCCTCCTATTCTTCTCCCTTGATCATCCCTTCCCAGCCTTTGTGCTTTTCACTGGTAGAAACTGCCTGCCCTAGGGCCTTGTACTGGTTTTCTCAGTCTGTAAGGCTCTTCTCTAGTTAACCATGTGACTACTTAACCTCCTTCAGTTCTCAGCTCAAATGTCACCTTCTCAGTGAGGCTTTCAAAGACTACTCCTTTTAACATTGCATATTTTCCCCATTAGCACTTTATATTCTTCTTCATCTGTATTTTATTTTTCTCCATTGCTTCTATCAACATCTGACATATTATTAGGACATTTACTTGTTTTTGATCTGCACTCCCCCACAAGGCGGTAAGCTCCAGAAGGGCAGGAATTTTTGACTGCTGTATCTCTAATGCTCAGTAAATATTTACTGAATAGGTGAATGGATCTATTTTGAGAGGATGAAATGAGTTTAAAATATAATAAAACCAATGTCTGACTAGGCTTTATCATCATATATCACTTTAGAGAGTCACTGGAAAAAGAATTTTAAATTAGGATTTTTTTTCTCCTTCAGTAGGTATTTTTGACGGGAGGCAAAAAACTTCATTGTAGTCAACATATTTTACTGTTTTGACCTTTTAACTGCCTTCCAAAAAAAAATTTTTTCTCAGTGTTCTGATTATTCACAAAGTAATAGTACACAGATCCCTGTTTTACAGATATTAAAAAAATAGAAAATATAAAAAGTCTTGCAACCCACCCCTGACCCTATCTACTAATTTCATCTATTCCCCCCTTACCCCTACAAATAGCCACGTTTACTAGTTTCTTACGGATTCTTCCAGAGATCCTTTAAGAAAATAGAAGCAAATCGTTTCCCCCCTTTCTTATACAGAATATAGCATAAATATATACTGCTCTGTATCTTGCTTTTTTTATTTTATAATATATCCTGGAAATCTTTCCATGTCAGTAATTATAGAGCTTCCTCATTCGTTTTTTTTTCTTTCTTTCTTTCCCTTTCTTTTCTTTTCACTTTTAAACAGCCATGGTGATACAGTAATGGTCCCCAAAGATGTCCATGTCTTAAAATCCAGAATCTGTAAATATGTCACCTTGCATGGTAAAATTAACTTTGCAAATGTGATTTAAGTTAAGATCTTGAGATGGAGAGGTTATCTTGGATTATCTGTGGGCCTAATGTAATCACAAGCATTCTTATAAGGGAAAGAAGGTGGCAAGAGAGTTAGTGTCACAGGGGGACATGTATTGACAGAGGCAGAGGTTGCAGTGATGTAACCACAAGCCAAGGAATGTGAGCAGCCCCAAGAAGCTGCAAAAGACAAGGAGCAGATTCTCCCTTAGAGCCTCTAGAGGGAATGCAGCAAGGCCAACACCTTGCTTTTAGCCCCATAAGACCCTTTTGGACGTCTGACCTCCAGAACTGTAAGATAAAAAATTTGTGTTGTTTTAAGCCATTAAGTTTGTGGTAATTTGGCACCAAGAAATAGGAAACTAATACAGTCATATAACATTTAAACGTTTAGACAGACCATAGTTTATTTAACCAATTGTCTATAGATGGACTATCCCCTATCTTCCTCAATGAATGGTCATATACATAGAGCTTAAGTGTGCAGATAATAGCTATAAGGTAAATTCCCAGAGGATACATTGCTGCTACACACAGCACATATATCTCTAATTTTGCTTGGGGCTGTCACTGTCCTCCAGAGAGTTTGCGGTACTTTGTAATCCCACCAGCAATGTATGAGTGTTTAAAGTTAAAACTTCATGTATTAAAAACAAAACTATTCTTGATAGCAATGAGTTTGTGTTTGCTCCTAAATTTCCAAAGTATACTAGAAGCCCTGCTCAAAAAGGACATGAAGGGAGGAATGAAGCCAATTCAAGTACACAACATAAAACTAACACTTCCACCCAAAGACCATTCATCAGCCCCAAATTACTATAACGCCTACCTGTAAAGGAGTCGCACAAGTATAAACGGTGTTTTGTTGAACTGTCTGTAAATGTTTTATCAAATGTTTAGGACCAATGGACCAGCCAAGCTGGAAAAGAAAAGTAGATTTAAAAAATGAATCTAATTGTAAGTACCAAATTTGATAGAGTAGCTAAGCTTAATGTAATTATTAAATATATGCATTTCTAGAATGCTCACACTATGAAAGTAGTGTAGTCTTAGTAGTTAGAAACATTTCAACCCTGATCTTTTTGTGGAATAGTTTCCAACTGGAGTCACTAAATTCTGCCCTCAGAAGGTAAACAGTGCCTGCAATCATTATTATCTTCCCCCCCTCTTTGATTTGCTACTTCTAATATTCTGGAGGTCTAATAACAAGTAAAAAGCTTGTTTGACTTTGGGCTTCCCTGGTGGCGCAATGGTTGAGGGTCCACCTGCCGATGCAGGGGACACGGGTTCGTGCTCCAGTCTGGGAAGATCCTACGTGCCGCGGAGCGGCTGGGCCCGTGAGCCATCGCTGCTGAGCCTGCACGTCCGAAGCCTGTGCTCCGCAACAGGAGAGGCCACAACAATGAGAGGCCCGCATACCGCAAAAAACAAAACAAAACAAAAAACTTGTTTGACTTCAATGTAGGTAAAAGTAACTCTGAATGAGGGCCGTAAGGGAGTCTTCCATAATTTGGTTCTCCAGCCCTCATTTTTGATACTCTCTGCTTCTTAGCCAAGTTTAGAAGAGGTGAAGTTGGAAGATAACCAAGTTTCAATTGGATAAATTGTGATTGTACTACATAGTGCAGTGGTTAAGTGCGTGGATTCTGAACCTAGACTTCCTGCCCTGGCTTGAATTCGAATTCATTAGCAAGGTAACCTTAGGCAAGTTACTTAGCTTCTCTGTACTTTAGTTTTATTGTCTGTAAATGGGAATAATAAATTATACCCACCTCATAATGTGGTTACGAGAATGAAAGGAATCAGTATGTGGAAAGCTCTTAGAACCTGACACATAGTAAGTGCCAAAACGTTAGCTATTATTTTTTCTCCTTTTATTTTAATATACAGTAATCTGAACATTCTTTGCAAAGAAAAGAGTACCATTAGTTGGTTACTTATAAAATTTAAAAATTACCTAATTTTTCTTACTTTTAAAGGAATGATTAAGACTCAAAAAGGATAAAGGCCAATATGAACACTGAATGAGTAAATAAGCAGATCAGTAAGTATAAAACCCTGGGTAAACTGAATATCTATGCATTTAAAACACAAAAAACTCTACAAGAAGTAAAATGCAGGCCTGTTTTCAAACAGTTAAATTCTTCTTCATCTTACCTTCCAGCCAGTTACATTGAAAGTCTTTCCAGCACTTCCTATCGTTATTGTTCTCTCCCACATACCTGGAAAAGTGGCTGAACAGAAAAAAGAAAAAAAAAAAAAAAGGTTAGATAATTGCTTTATAGTCAGTCTACACTCAGTATAATCTAAAAACATAAATGCCTTATAATAGAGTCAGTATAGTTATTTCAATAAGTTTTTTTTAGAGATAATTTAACTTTAACCCAAACACAGCTGAAAATGTTACTGTGCTTGAAAACATTTAAGTGGCAAAATTATCTCCCAGGGCATGAATGGCAGAGGTGCCAGCAGGCAGCGCTCCAGGCTGGTTCAGTGCTGTGGTCAACAGCACTCAGTGCTCAGTGTTAGTAGTAGCTGGGTGCCCAGCATAATCATTCTGTGGTACAGTTTTGCTTGTGGTTCTGGCTAGCGTTTAGCTCACCTCTACTCTGCCTATTTTCTGAGTCTATTTCTACAGGATTCCTAGGGCAATGGTTCTTAAAATACAGTCCCCACACAGCAATAGCAGTATCACTGGGGAACTTGTAAGAAAGGCAAATTCTTGGATCCTCAGAAACTCTGGGGAAGGGCCAACAATCTGCATGCATGTGTGTGAGTGTGTGTATGTGTTTTATAAATAACTTACTGAGATATAAATCCCATGACATATAGTTCACTCGTTTAAGTGTACCATATCCACAAAGTTGAGCAACAATTACTACAATCAATTTCAGAACATATTTTTTCACCCCCAAAGAAACCCTATACCTATTAGGTATCAACCACTAATATTCCCATGGCCAATAATTTTAGAACTTATGCCTGAATGGAGCTTATCTAACGCATGTATTTTCTCTGTAATGCACAACACAGCTTTCTTGCTCTTAGAAGCATTAGACAGCACTTCAGCACTATGTTTGGGGGCCATTTAAAATAGCAAAATCACTGTGAAAAGAACACTTGCTTATAGAACAAGCTGTAATAAGAAAGCAGAGTGTTGCCTTGTTGACCTTAACTGGAAACATCCATATCAGGCAACTCAAATTTTTCACCCCTCTGCACATGTCTGCGAATGAAGCACTCTAGTGATTTGGGGGTTACAAATGTATTTTAGTGAGTAGATGAATTCACAAATACAGATTCCAGGAAAATGGCAAATGACTATATAAAAATTTTCAAGTTGATTGATACCTTTAGTAAAATCATTCATTCACTTATTCATACACTCATCAAACATTTATTAGTAATGATCAGGTGCCAGGTACTAAGCTAGGTCTAGAGGAAACAATGACAAGAAAGATGCAGTTCCTATCTTCAAGGAGCTTAATGTCTAGTGGGGGTTGGAGACAAGAAGAACAATTATATTACAGGGTGATAAGTGCTATAATAGCAACAGGCATGGAATATTCTGCAAGGATAGGAGATGGTGTTAGGGGTAGTTCTCTGCAGTCAGTAATGCTTGAGGTGAGACTTGGATGACCACATAGGGCTTTGCTGGGCAGAGAAGGGAAAATAAGGTGTTTTGGACAAAGGGGATGCAGGTATCAAAGTCATGGAGGTATAAAATACAAGAGTTGGTGAATTCTGTTGGACATCGGTAAATTATTCCTCTGTTAATCTTCCGAGAATGCTACCTACAAAACTGCTTTTTGGATTCCTCAAGTAATTTAGTTGTGAAATTCTTCATGTGCAATTCCACAAGTTTTTCACCTGTTTTTTTAGAGGTACAATAGATGCTCTTATATTGTTCTAAGAGTGTTAGTATGCACAAAGGGAAAATAAATACCCATTTCTGGGGGGCTAAGTTACCGTCTTCTTGAAGTAATCTTCTCATAAGCAAGTAAAGTGACTACAAAATGTAAGATAGCTAAAGAAAGTTCCAAAATGGATGCATATGCAATTTTAGCCTATCACGAAATACCTGTCAACATTTGTAAAGGCACGAAAACAATATAAATCAGAGAAGTTACCACTGTATTCTCTGTGAAGTATAAGAAAACCCAAAAAGACAAATGAAGAAAATATTTAGAGGGTCCATTCGAAGAAGGAATATTCTAACATTTGATGTAAATAACCATATCCTTTCAAGTTTTGAGACATTTCTAGTCTTCTATTTAGTCTTCTAAAATATTCCAAAGGACACGACAGATGTCCCACTTTCCTATTTGATCACAGAAAAATCCAAACTACGTATACTGCAGATTATCACTTCCTTTAAAGTAATAATATATATCCAAAATCAGGAAGGCCTATTAGCAAAAAAAATATTTAGAAATAAATTCTTTGAAAATAAAAATTACCCAAACTAATATAATACTGATATGTTTTAACAATAAGTTATACATGAAGGAAATAAAAACTATGCACACATCAAATGTAGGTTTCATTCACAAAATATCAAATTTAACTATAGCATAAATTTAAAAGGAGCTAAGTAATTTCTTGATGGCTATTCTGGCCATATAAAAGTGGATGTCTTTTTTTCAAGGAGTAAGCTGATCAGCTAAATAATTTACAAGGAATTTTATACTAATTTTCCAAATATCAATGGATTAGTATATAAATATCAGTGTCTCTTCCAGAAGAGAGGTTTCATTTGTCGACTATAATGTCATTTTACTGAAACCTGCAGAAATCATTTGAGTCAAGAATCTGATTCAGTAAGTACAAGTTCTACTATTTCAATAAAAAGGGCCCTAAGTCATTTAAAACATCTGAATGTCCATGTCCTCTCCATCTCGGAGATCTGGGGAGCTACAGAAGTTAATGTGAACAGATAGGCAGAGCAGATGACCACAGCACTGCATGAGAATATAGTAACCTAAAGAAATTAAAAAAAAATCTTTGTAGGTCTGATGATTTTAAAAAAACATATCCAGTTCCAGTATTGGTAAGTTTAGCTTGCAGTTATACCTGAAAGGCAACTGGTCTTTGTACTTCTCATTTATGACCCATGATCCTTAAATCAGCCACAGCAGCTATAACAGTTATTCACAGGTGACTTAGGCTTCATTAGAAGTCAGATAAAGATGAGAGACAAGATGAAGAGTGAAAACTACACCAGGAAAAACTGCCTCTGTGACAACATGAAGATGATGCTAATTTCATGATGTATGGCCAGCAAGCCTTACTGTATTATATTAAAGAGCTACTATTGCACTCTGTAAATTGATGGAAGAGCCATTTAGCATCTTTCATGTAACAAAGGCCACTGTATTTAATAGAATAAGTTTTCACACATTTGTACTCTCTAAATAATGAAAGTGAATTCATTTTTTTCTTGTTTTAACTTTATGAGTTGTTAAAACAACTAAAAAATCTGAGTTAAAAATATATGATATCTTTAGGAAATAACATCATCATTTACAGTTTTACCATGAAGGGCTTATAATATAAGGTTTAAACAATAAATTTCAAGATCATTTAAAGTAATATTTTGGAAAGAATATTGCTAAACTGAGTTAACTAAATTTTTTAAAGCTTTGAGTCATTGCATAGGCATGAACATTTGTAAAACATGTAAAATGTTAAGTTTAAAATTATATTTATTCATTAGATAGATACCTCTTCCTCTCACTGCTTAATCTAAAAAAATTACCAAAACATTTAATTGTCCATGTTGGTCTGATTTTCAACTGGGTAGAAGTTAGTGACCTGAGACAGAGATCATCAACAAGATGTGAGAAGGTGAGCTGTGATGCAATTTTGACAAATAACGAAAGTCTGCTGGGCTAAGGCACCATATCTTGCAAATCTCTGACCCTCTTCTCTGTTAATACATTCTTCCTTAGAAGATTCATTCTCTTCCATGGGTTCCACTATCAACAAAATTTTGATGACTGCCAAAAATAAATCCCTTCACATTTGATCCTGACGATCAGGCCTATAATTCTACTGGTTTCTAGACATCTCCTCCTCTAAGTCTCAAAGACACTAAAACTTAGCAAGACTAGAGCATGAGAAGCAGGAATTTCCTTTGCTCAGCTCTCCCCACAGATCTGTTCCTCCTCCCACATCTCCGTCCCTGGGTAAGGGCCTCATCACTGCCTAGCGGTCCAGGCTAGAGATCTCAGAATCACACTTGCTTGCTTTCCCACCTTCAAATGCTATATTCTGTGCCCTATAGTTTTTACTTCTAAGTAGCCCTCATGTATCATCTCCACTGCCAGGGCGTTTGACTTAAGATCCTCACCTGTAGCTGGTTCTTACCTCTATAAAACAAATCCAGTATGGAACTAATTACCCTGCCTTGTCACTACCTGTTGCAGTAGTTCTCAAAGTATGCTCACTGGTACCCTGATGATCAAATTAATTGAGTTTTTAAATAGAACTTAAAAAAATCAATTTTAAGTTTTCCACAAAATTTTCTTAAGCCACAAAATTTTCTTAAGCACTTAAGGTAAGTGTTACCACTTATCTGATAGTGAATGCTACCAACAGTGAAACAAATGAGCATTAGAAAATGAACATTAATGGCAAAAATCAGAAAAACTCAGATGTATTTATTTCAATAGCACTTTGTTACAGGTAAATACACACAGACTTGTAGTTTTTACACTGACTTCTAATTACTGAATTTCTGTTAAGAAAATTGCCTCTCGTTTCATGATGAAGTAAGTATGTATTGTCACTATTTCATGATGTGAACATCATGACTTTAAGATGCTCTATCACTAAAGTAAGTTTCAGAACCACTGACCCCCTCAATGAAGTTTAAACTCTTTATCCTCATATATAAAGTCCTTCAGAATCACCCTACTTTTCCACTCTCATCTGTGCCAGTTACTGCAACACACCCTTCTACCACTTAAGTATATCTTGATCTTTCATGCTTCCTTGCCTCAGTACATAAAAGTTTATCTGATAGGAATTTTCTTTCTATTTCTTTGCCTAACTAAGTCCCATCTTTTGCCCACTCCTTTGTTGATCACCTGAAGCAGTTGCTTTCTCCTTTGTGTCTCTACAACAATTTGTAATTTGCCACAGATAATTATGATATGTGCAACAACTATTTATATATAAGTGTACTAATTTTAAAATTTATTGGTTCCTGCCAGTGATTTTAGTTATCCTTCCCTCACCCTTTTCATACTTCCTATTTATTTTACTCAACAATTACTTTCTGACTGTCTACCATGCACAAGACCCTTTCTGGGAACTAAGGAGTCAGAAGAGACCAAAACATTTAAAAATTCCTACCTTCTTGCAGGTTCAAACTAAAATATATAGATCCTGATATTTGTTATAGAGGAAAAAACAAAAACAGAATGGAAAAAAGACAAAGAAAATGCTGGAAGGAGAGGTGTAACTATCTTAAATGTTGTGGTCATCAAATTTGACATCTGGGGTTTCACTGGTGGCGCAGTGGTTGAGAGTCTGCCTGCCGATGCAGGGGACACAGGTTCGTGCCCTGGTCCGGGAAGATCCCACATGCCGCGGAGCAGCATGGGCCCGTGAGCCATGGCCGCTGAGCCTGCGCGTCGGAGCCTGTGCTCCGCAACGGGAGAGGCCACAACAGTGAGAGGCCCACGTACCGCAAAAAAAAATTGACATCTGAATAAAGACCCCAGAGTGGTGACAGACTGAGCCATTTGGATATCTGGCAAAAAGTGTTTCCAGGTATAGGCAGGGCAAGTGCAAAGACCCAAAGTTTGCAGCCCAGTTTATAACCCTATAGTTGATATAAGTTTGGATTACCTCAGAAGACACTGTGGCTTTTGTGAAATGGCCCAGTAGTAATGGTGAAATTCCAGGCAAGGGCCACGCAGCAATACCTTACTGTCATGAAGATTTTTTCCTGTTGACCTGGCATTTTGGCAACCTGCTCAGCAGGGACAGACCAGTTCAGGAACAATTAAGTTCCCTATGTCTTATATGCCAAGTAATGGCTAGATTCTTGAAAAAAGCTAAAAATAAAGGCAAAAGTACTACTTCTCTGGTTTCATAATTTTATAGTGTGATCCAAAATCTCGTCTCCTAAGTTTGTACTGCTTGTCCTTCAATCTGCTCATAAATTCACTCAAGCATCATTCATTCAAGGCCCATTTTTAAGCACTCACAGACATTTACCCATTACAAAGACTATTTTAAAGCTCTTCTGGGATCCTTTCCTTTCCAATCAGATGTTCCACACGTGCCCAAACACATTTAGATTTGTGATTCTATGTAATAATTGGTACCTATTTTAAAATGCTTATTTCCAGTATATACAAGCCATTCATAAACCTCATCACTGATGCAGAGTGTGTCATATTTGATGCAAAGGTCAGCAATTACTTGGAGTTCCTCTTTGGTATACACCTACACATATGAAAGGAAACAAAGGAGCAGAGCCAATTATTCAACATGTGAGAAAATGATGGACCAGAAGACTGTATAAAGAGATCAAAGACTCACCTTGCCAAGGGGGTTATGCGGAGTATTTAGTATTATAGCTTTGGTTTTGGAATTAAATTTGCTTGCCAGTTCTTGAGGATCTAATGTCCAGTCAGAACTAGACCATTTTTTCCCATCAACAAGTTTCTAAGCATGAAGAATGAAGATGTGATTTAATTCAGTTAATTTATGTTTGCTACAAAAAAGTAACCTAACAAGGAAAATAAAGTAGAGAAAGGCATGGCAAAGGTAACTGAATAGATGACAAACAAAGAAAAGAAATAGAAATAACTAAGCTTTACTCTGTCTTAAGAGCCCAGCAGGATGTGAGTTCCATGCTCATACCTGTTAATTGGAAACATGAACTCTGTCAACATTAACGGCTGTGAAAGTGCCTATATTCCTTCAAAGGAGCCAGCTGTAACTATGGTTAACACATCTGATACTATAAGACTAATAGAAGATTCTGTGATTCACCTTGTATCACTTATTTTGATGAAAATTTTAAAAAAACAATGGTTCTATACTGTATTCCTAAAGATAAAAGCAGAATTTAAAAAAAATTACTTCATTCAGAATTCAATAAGCATTTATTGAGCACCCAGCATATACCCTACACTGTTAGTCACTGGGGACCAGAGCTATAAAAGTGAGTCAGAAATGGTTTCTGACCTGGTGGTGCTCAGTCAGTAAGGGAGACACATAACCACAAAAAATAGTATTACACACAATGTAGATGCTGATACAACAGACAGACGTGCAAACACAAGATAAAGTAATAAAAGATCCCCCTTTAAAGTTGTTACCTTCAGTCATAGTAGAGATATATAGTAAATCCCAAAATGTAATCAAAGTAGGAACTTTACTGGCAACAAAGTAATGGTATTTACAAAACTTCTTAAAACATGTGAAGCATAGGGTCAAACTTACAGATCTCAGGGGAATAAAAACAGGTATTGCTCCAGCCATTCTCACCATGGGCTCATAGCAGTCATAGAAAGGCACTATCACTATGACCTGGAATAAAACCAAATAACACAACATATCAATCATTAATCCATTTAACAAATATTGTGTACATACTATGTGCAATGCACTATACTACATGCTGAGATGCAGCAATGTAGAAAGCAGGCTTTGTCTTCGCACATCTGAGTGAAAAAGACCTTGGGGATAAACCTGTCGGGATCCTTAATTGGAGCCCTTGATCTCTTAGGGAGATCTGTGGATAGGCTTGCAGTGGGACCCTTGGAATTGTATGTAAAATTTTTTACATGCATAGGTATATTTTTCTGGGGAAAGGGGTCATAGCTCTCATCACATTCTCAAAGGGATGTTCCAGCCAAAAACATTGAGTTTAAATTTCAAATTAGAAAATAAATGATCAGTGGCAGAGCAAGACCATAAGGAAAGAGAGCACTGCAACTGATGCTCTCCGCTGTGGAGTACTAATTTATAAGTATTATCCTGAGAGTAAAGACGTTTGTGGTTTCTCAAAAGCATCCCTAAACAAAAAGTGTATGCAGGTAGACAGGATGCTACTGCTAATGTCTGATAACCACAATTTCCCTCCAGATGACTTATATCTGGATCCTTTTTTCCTAGCCCCTTGAGATATACTTCCTGTTCCTTTTCTCCTACAGGCTCTCTCTCAATCACTCATGGCCTGGCTTTCAGGTCAGTGGGCCAGACTAACCTGTCCAGTCGGTATTCCTTCTGCAGTATGCCAGCCTGGACCTAGCATCCCTAACTTTTTGCTTTTCTATAAGGAGGGGTTGAACACATAATTTATATCCATTGTACACATTTGATTTTTCTATCTTTTTTAAACTTAGAAATATTTCACAAAAATTTTAATATTATTTAGTTTTAGCACTTATTATTTTAAAGGCTATTTGAGAGTCTATTGAATTCTAGAATAATTTTGTTATAGTTTGCTTGTATAAATAACAGTGCAATGTTCACTTGTGACTATGCATAGTATTTCCATTTTAAAATCATTTGCTGAATAAATTCACATGATTGCTACTGCTAGACTAAAGGGTGTAAACATGTTTTATGGTACTTTATATATATAGTCAAACTGCTTGTGAAAAATCTGGCAACAATTTATAATTTTACAAGTCTACACTAAACTGCCACATTTAAGTTTGTGTTGGTTAAATTCATGGTACCTAATTATCACCCTAAATTTGCACTTTTTACTGCTTGTACTTCTTTTTCAAGGCCTTTCTCATTGGAGTCATAGGAGGCCCTTATATTCTAAAGCCCCTTTGTTTGTACTAGTCATCCAACTCACACTGAGTAGTTCCTATACAATGTGCTATGTGTTGGGTACTGTGGAGGACAAAGAAATGAGCCAGGAATGAATCTTTTCCTCAAGTTCTTAATTAGACTATGAAATTCTTGGGGACTAAGATGACCCATCTTTGTAGCCCTGGTGAGAAACAGTGCCTGGTATGAAGTGAGAGCTCAATGAAGGAAAGTAAATTGGGAAGGCAGCGAGGTGGAATTGAGGCATATACTTAACATGCTTCCCTGAAATTTCCTTATTTTTACAATGGAAATAATTCCCCTCTCTTTTTGAAGAATATTTACTGAGCACTCACTATTTCAGGTGCTAGCTCTATAGCGATAAACTAGTTTTCCTGGAACTTACATTCTCCTGCAAGACATTTATAATAAATAAGAAAACAAGGAAGTAAATCAGCTAATTTCAGATAGTAATAAATACTATAAGGAAAATAATAGGTCAATATGATGGAAACTGGTGTGTGTGGTTTCAAAATATTAGATAAGATGATCAGGGAAGAAAGAATAGAGGAAAGAAGGCCAAGGGCAGAGCCCTAGGACACACCAGTAAAGTGCAGAGAAGGAGGAAGCAACAAAGGAGTAACAACACCAAAGTCTCAGATAAAACTTTCAACTATTTTATAGGAATAAAGGAGATTACGTATATGAAAGTATGACTGTACTGCCTTACCATGTCTCCTTAAGTAGCTTATTGTTTGGCGTAGTAGAGTGAATTGAGATGTAAAAGGATAATGTAACACAAAGTAACAGGTATCTTTCATGAAGAAGGTACAGATAAAGTGCGGGGAGAGTTCAAAGAAAGGAATTAACAATACAGATCACGGCAAATATTCATTCTTCACACCCAGCTTAACCAACACCTCTCTAGAGCTTTCCAGACCTATATTAGCAGAGTTGATCACTTCATCCTCTTGTCACCATGGTAACTTATACATTCCCCACGACCGCCTATAGCATTGCATTCCTCCTCATCTGTTTACAAGTCTATCTCCTCTACTAAACAAGGAACCCCTTCCACGCAGAAACCGTCTTTTAAAAATCTCTCCCACAATGTCTAGCGTATCCTCAATAAATTCTAAATAAATGAAACAGGTGAGGAAATACTGAAGCAGGGGTATTGGAATGATAATGGGGAATTAGGGGCAGAGCTGACTGAGGTCAGTTCCAAAGTGGGTTTTATATCACTAAATAAAGAAATCACTCAGCCTTCTTGTTATACATCCCTCACACAGTGCTGCTAACAATACAGGGTACAAAAAGACAGGGACCAAATACTTGTTGATTGAGTTCAGATTAAAGGTTATTTTAGCAGTGAAAACTAAGATTCATTTTCCCGCATCACTGCTAGCCCCTTTGACCTTCTCTTATCTAAATAGGCTGTAAATATAAGAATAAATGACATGCAACAAAATGGATGAATCTCACAGACAAAATGATAAATGAGAGAAGCCAGACTCAAGAGTACATACTGTATGATTCTATTATATCAAGTTAAAGAGCTGGCAAAATGAACCTATGGTGACAGAAC